GCCCACCTTCAGGAAACCCCCCAGTCCAGTCCTCCCTTGCCTGGGGTTGCCCACGGTCGCCACTGGCTAGGTGCGGGCAGGCCGGGCGTTACTCACCGTGCTACCGCAGGGCGATTGGGAGGGAGAGTGGGATGTAGATTACGGTCCAGGCAACCATTAGCAGCCAAGAACGTTATCAGCATGTAATTGCTGCGTTGCTATCTTGAGACCCAAGACCCATCACCTGACCCTACAAAGAAGAACAAGCAATTGATAAGGAAACTTTTTGCAAAAGGTACCGAGGGATCCGTATGTGAGAGAAGCACAAGTTGCTGATGCCTGGTAACTTTGCAGAAGTTGATGACAGAAACATCTGGATTAACAGATAAGCCACAAGGATGCTGATGGATGATGGTGCTGCAGGACCTGCAAAACCAGAGTTACTTCGCTGTACCACATTTATGATTGGATAATTCGGAATATGCATTCATAGGTAATGAGGTGAATCGCATCGTACCCTTCTGTAAAATGCCTAAAGAAGAATCCCTGGGCTGTGGCCAGTTTGGCTGAGGTACCTCATGCATATGAATAAATATTTACCTTTGTAATTCCATAGTTTGTCCCCCTAGCCTCTCTCCTCGGTCGGCACAGGCCAGTTGTGAATTTGTAACAAGGGCAAGATAGGAGTACGCTTTGGCTCCTCTCTCTTTGAATGGGTTGCCCTGCCCTGGGCTAAAGTTTCCACCTATAGTGTTGTGTTTCAGTTTGTGATCTTTCTGCTTCCTGCCATGGCAGGGCAGGTTACGAGGAGTGGCGCCAGTGGCTGGTTGGCATCATTTGGGATGTACATGTGCCCGGGCCTGCCCACTCCTGGGCAGCGGTGGGAAGGGCGGTGGCTAAGGGGAAAAGGAGCTCCCCAGACCTCGCCATGGTTCACAGGCAGATTGAGGTCAGTGGCTTTGGAGAATGCCACGGCTTAATGGTGGGTTCAGATAGGGCAGCGGAGGCCAGGTTTCAAGAGCTAAGGTCTTCCTTAGGAAGAGACTAATCCATGGAGTTGTGGGTATTTCCCTATCTCCCCTTCAGTTTCTGGTAAACAGTTAACACAGGGAAGAATTCTGAAGAAAACAGGGCTTGCCAACAGAGACCCAGAGTTTGAAGAAAAAGAACTTAGTTATGTATTAATAACCAAAATTGATTCAGTTAGATATAAAAGCTGAAGGCACGTACTTAGTCTCCTTCAGTAATATGGAACCGTTACAAAGAAACATGCTGAATTCTGGCTGTGCCTAATTTATTTGACAGCACTGCTATGTATATCACACAGCAGCTAGCATCTAGGTGTCCATATGCTTCAAGCATTACATATATATATATATAAAAATATAAAATATACATGTACAAAAGAGGACACTTTTCTTTCTATCCTTTGGTGAACTGATTGCTCGTGCAGACCTGGCGTGGGATTTTTTAATTGTTAACCTCATAGTGTCTCAGTCCATATTAGATGCTGTTACAATGCCATACTTAAGGGTTGGGTTTTTTTCTTCCATTGGCATCATGTTCCATATTCTATTATACCTGGAACTCGATGGGGTTTTGTCCTCGTCTTCAAGACACAGCCGCTAAGATGCTGACTTTTCATGTTTCCTGATTGTCTCCTCGGTGCTAATAATCACTTCATCTGAGAGAAATCACTACTCCATTCCCTGCTGCCTGTCATTTCTTGAACATCTTTCCTGTAACTACCAAGCTGCTTTTTCTTTTAACTGCAAAAATAAATGTTAAAAGTATTTTAATAGGAAATACTGTTGAAAATAGTTCTAAAGTTTCTTTGGTTTTTGGTTTTTTTTTAATTTGAAACATACAAGTAACCGATGCAGTTATATATATTTGAACTGTCAGTGAGTGTGCCTGAAATGATTACATTAACTATGCTGTCCTAGATCTGTAAACTGCATCCTGCCTCATGCTTCTTAGTATAAGCCCTCTCACCAACTGCTCGGGGTCGGTTAGTAAGACCTCAGTTTATGAATACTTACTTTTACAAGTGCAGCTTTACCGAGGGAGGCAGTTTAGTCACTCTCATGATACAAAACTGGGAAAAACAAGGCTGCTTAATGTGAAAAAATTCAAAGCCTGTATTTGCTAAAGGAGACATTTAGCAAATGGACTTTCTCAGGTCCTTATAGATTGTTACAGGACCTGGAATTTAAAAATAATCTTAAAATAAAGTTTCATGGGGCATTACAGTTTATACATTCTGTTCACTTATTCATTCCCCCTCATACACATGAACTTACCTCCTTACGTTTTAAGATGTGCTGAGAAAAATCTTACTGCTCCTCACCTCATATTTACAGTGCTGACTCCTGATTGAATCAGGTTGCATTTTCTTTCACATTCTATCATTTGACTATATGACCTTGGACAAATCACTTTGTCCTTTTTGCCTCTTCAGAGTGGTTCGCCCTTGGGGCTACAGGTTATTTCTTACTACAGTATATTTAAGAGAATGATCTGCAATTACCGTTTATACAACTATGATAATAAAACATTTTTTTACTATTTCTACATAGGAGATGGAGTGAAGCAGAAAAAAGTGAGTGTAGGTAACACTTTAAGATTAAAAATCTTTTTGGCAGTGAGTCAAACTTCATTGATTTAAACCTGGAACTGTTGACATTTGCCTGTGATTTTTTTTTAATGTGAGAGGAACTCTAATTTCTTTAAAGAGTACTTAGAGAGAGTTAAAGACTTAGCTATTTTAAATATAGAAACAAGATGATAGAAAAGTGAATTAAGAAAAAATCCCACACAGGGAAAACTCACAAATACCCTGTAGTCCAGT